GCCAATGTAGAACAGAAAACAGTCATTTTTCTTACCACTTTTACCAGTAGAATCTCTAAAGCAGTTGTCGGAATAATTCTTGATATTGATACATTGCTACACTAGCTTCTCAGAAATTAAACTGTGCAATGACTCTGCAAAATCACTGGCAAGAGTGGAAAGGAAGAAAAATAATAATAATCAATGTTTGGACAGTCTACCTGCAAATACACTCTATTTTCTTATGATTGTATAGCATTTCTTCTAACACTGTCCAAAGCATCAGATCACTCAATAGCATCAGATATGAATAAATGTGCTTAAGAAATTTGTGATCACAGTGAGATCATTTCTAAGTGGTTGACATTTAAACAAAGGGAACTGTACCTCATTAGCAACTGTTTTGTGGGGTACAAAGGTTCAGCTGGTATGAAGAAGACATATGAATGCCTTTTCCAGTGAGCTAATCTCAGATAAGGTGAACTCAGTTGAGTTAAATCTAAATATAGAGTATTAAGATGAAGAGAAGATATCCTTCTTCTCTAGTCCATATCAGACTGCACTTAGAATATTATGTCCAGTTCTGGATATCCCATTTTGAGAAAGACATGGACAAACTGGAGCATGTCCAGAAAAGAGCATTCAGGATGATTAAAAGAGGTATGTTCAGTCTGGAGAAAACTGCACCATCACCTTTGAGGATGATGTGTCTCTCCCACACTTTGTGGATTCTATCACCCTGAACATGTTTTTGTATTCTTCCAAGTTGCTCACCTCTAACCTAGGTTGAAGCTCAATATTCAGGTGTTCTTTGTACAATTTTAAAAATGCCCAAGCTGGCTTTGGAATGATCCTTATGGATTATTTAATTTAATTTGCCAAGGCCCGAAGAGAGGATTCAGTGGCTTTATGATTCCTCTTCATACTAAGAATATGCTTGGTTATTTCTTTATCTGCTGAGACACAATTACACATCCTACCTCTTAAGAGAGATGAGCAGAGCCTTTTGTATAGTCACACTTACGAATGGACTTTTATCTTGGATGGTTCAGGATCTCTCTCCCTCTCCCCACAGGCCTTGACAGTTCTTTTTTAGTGTGTGTGTGTGTGTGTGTGTGTGTGTGTGTGTGTGTGTGTGTCAATTATTTTACTATTACAAAGTTACATTTCTCAGAAATAATGTATATCAACTTTCACACCTCCACTGATTTAATCAATTAAGGCACAAGCTGTTCATTGCTTAAAGATCTGTTTTTTCCCTGAAAGACAGAAAATGCAGATGCCATCTGAATGAATAATGGCACTTACTACCACAGACAGCCAGATCTTTCAGCTTTCATCAGCTTCCTATTCATGTGATCAAATTATTCTTTTACTTGAAGCTGCCTGAAAATCACTCTGATTTAATTCATTAGATGCAAATCCTTCCTTCCCTCTAAGAGGGCATGGTGGCACAAAGACCATTGTCTCCTTCAATTTTCCTCACAATCATAACTGTTCAGGAAGTCCGGTCTGAAAAGTAATTGTTGGTCCAAAGTTTTCCAGTGAGCTTCAATAACTATAGGTGGATTTGAACCTGCCTTTCTCAGGTCTGGTCCAACTCCTGAACTTTACACTATACTGACTCTTAGTAATTGGCCATGTTACATACTAGAATGTAAAGGAAGCATTTACAAGGGACTATTTAAACCACAATAGAAACATGGCTGAAGATCTCCTTGCACTCATCTCAGTTCTTGTGACCACACAGATACATCCTAGCAGATTTCTTTAAAAAAGAATGCAGAAGTTTGCTATTGCTTTCTCAGCAAATATACCAACCCAGTGACTTGAATAATCTCAGCAACAGTTGTATCAAAATCAACACTAGGCAGTTATGGAACACATTTCAATCCTCCGTAAAGTTCATCAAAGCTTAATAAAAGTAAAAGAGAGTGAAATGTCTATGGAGATACTCAATCATCCAGGTCATGGTTGTCCCAAAGATGTTTTTCAAAAGGCAACTTGACTTTTTTGACCCTCGAAATTTCTCATCCAAGAATGAGAAGTGAAATGTCTTCAAGAAAAAACAAAATCCAGTTGCCTTTTGAAAAAAAAAGCACCTTTGGGTAAAAAATCTCTTATAATCTGACTGTCCGTCCATGTTTCCAAAATGGTCAGCCAAATTCTCTGGGAATTTCTGAGGCAAGACATAAAAATACCTATCCCTGATCATTTTATGTCCATAGGAGTTCATTTCCTGCCTTTGAACATGAAAGATCCATTTCACTGTTTAAGCAAACAGCGATGAGCCAATTTTCCAACTATGTTCTATTTGTCTTCTCAAACTAACTTAGCTCATACCAATTAAATATATCCTGTGACAAGTTCCAAATATTTGTAATAAAATCTTGTGAACTAATGATCTGTCTTGACACTGCTGCTGGCCAATTAAGACAAAATTCTGCCTAGACAGGTCATTCATCATTTTTATAAATCATTACATAAACTATCATATAAAATGAACTTTAGCATTATCCCCTACAAATAACTCTTCTGGATAATTACAGAATTTCATTAGGGTATAGCTAAAAGTACTTTTTTCACTTTGGTCCCCAGTATCTCTCCTTGTACTTCAGTGCACTGAATCTTGTTTGCTGTTCTGCTAGTCATACACCCAACTTAAAGTGATTATATATCTGCAGTTTTTGGCCAGCTCTTTTAAAATTCACTTTAGAATTATTTGGTGACATTCAGAAACTTGGCTGCCTTACTGCTCAGGACAACTACAAACATATTTTTAATGTTAAATAGCACTGGCTCGAACATAAATTCCTTTCACATTGAAAACTTGTCCTATTTACTCCCAAACTCTACTGCACAAAAGAAAACAAACAAATCTAAGGTTATATATTTTTTTCTTTCATGTATATTCTTCCTTCCTTCTATCAGCCAGTCCAAGTCACATGCCTTGGTTTACTTTTCCATCAACTGATTTCTCATCTACAGATTTGTTTAAACATGGCCTTTTAGCGTGAGGTCGAATTAAACAAACACAAATAACATAAACCTTGATGCATAATTTTTAATTACTTGAATAACAGTTAACCCAAAGGAACACCACATGATACATAGCAATCAGGTGACACATAAAGGGGAAAGATAACAATTGTTTGACATACAATCTGGAGAAATGGGGTTGCTCAATTCTCTGTAGAGTGGTTGGTGCATCACCCCAAAATATTGCTTAGCAGGTTCTAAAACAGCACTTCGGATTTGACCTGAATAGCTGTAGGAAGAAAAGCACCCCCCAACTCCAAGTCCTATCCCAGGTTGCAGTTCAGTGCAGAAGGAAGGAAGGTCTTTAAAAATAGCTTGGGGAAATCTCTTTCAGTAGCTGGCATGGTCTGGGGTTACCCTTAGCAACCTGGGAAGAATTCCAGGCTGAATTGCATTGTGAGAGCCCAGTGGGGGCAGGGAAGAGACAGGAATCTGAACACAAACCCACTGGGCTGCACAATTCAGAGCAACAAGCAAGACAAACAAAAGCCCATTGCACTGCACACCTTTTGCACACCACCCCCATACACACTCAGGCTCTGCCTACACCTGCTCCAGACAAAAGACGATGGACTCTTGATGTTTGCCTGAAAAAGGTCCCACGACTTTATTAAAAGCCCTGCTCCATATCTGCCTCATTACTTGCAATTCTTTTCCAAGAGCATTTTCCAGGGCCTCTTTTTGATTCCCCCAAAATAAAATAATTATTTTGATATACACTATCAATAAATATCATCAGGTTCTATGAATTGACACCCCATCCCTTCCAAGTCTCTCTCTCTCTCTCTCCTTTTGGCCTATTGCTTCCTGCAAGCCATCAGCGACAGAATAAACACTTGTTTTTTGTTTTGTTTTTTTAAATAAATTTTATTGATTTTACAATTAAAACAGACCCACAACACATACATAAATGTAAGAGAGAGAAAGAAGAAAGGAAGAAGAAAATAGAAAGAAAAAGACAGGAAACAATTAAAAACATTTTCATCTTTCAACAGTTTGTGAGACCTCCTCTTCATCCTTATTTTATGCCATAGGCACACTTAATCCTTACGTATATCTGTATATCACTACTATACATCCCATCCTATCCTCTTTTGCCTTTTTATTATTAAGTCAGACACTCCACCAAGCAAATCAGTCTATCCAGGCGTCCCTCCCTGGCACATTATCTAGGCCTGTAATTCAGTGTGCTGCATCGCCACCCAAATTCCCCCGCCTGCCTTGAACTTGTAACCCACTTGCCGGGTTTGTACAAGTCGGTGAACCATACAAACTAACCCGTGGTGGTGGTGGGAGAGGGGTCGCAAACGAAAGGAAGCCCCCACCCCACCCCCACCTCTCCCCAAACGGACCCCAGGCGGGCAATCTCTCCCTCCCTCCCCCACCCACCCACCCAAACACATATACAGCTCAGGCAAAATTCAAACCGAATGTTGGCCTGTTGTGTGAACTTAAGCACTAAGTGGCCTCCTTTCTCCCCATCCCCTCCCCGGGGGGGGGGGGGGGGACGCGGGTTTTTTTTTTTTTTTTGGTGGGGGGGTTTTTTATAAGACCGGCCTTTGCCCCCTCCGTGGGGGGGGGCCGGCCCCCCCCCCCCCCACCCCGTCCATTATTCCGTCGTAGGCAAACCGGGGTCTACTTCAGAAGCCACCGGAGCCTTTGCGCGGCTGTGGGTGTTCCCATTGTGCGCGTCCTCTCCAGCTCCACACACGCCCAGCACAAGACAGGCCGTGGGTTTGGGGTGTGTGTGTGTATGTGTGTGGGTGGGTGTGGGTGTTTCTAGCGAGTTAAGCCGTTCCGGCATTGTTAGTTCCTAAATGGAGGGTGCGGAAGGGGGGGGGAGAGGAGTGGTTACTCAAAGCCCGGGGATCCTCCTCACTCCTCCCGCCCCCGGATAGAGATGCCCAAAGGGCGCATCCCGGCACCTGCCCCGCTTGCTTTTCCACCCCTCTCCTCCTCCTCCTCCTCCTCCGGCCACTTACCACACGGAGCCGTAAGCCCCCGAGCCCACCGGAGTCAAGTGCTGGTAGCGCTGAGGAACCTCCCACACGGTTTTATTCAAATCCTGCTTATAGAAGCCGCCTCGCTCAGACATTTTCCGGCGACGGCGGCGGCAGCAGCGGCGGCGACTGAGTTACAGCTGGAAGTGGAGGAGCGAAACGGAGCCGACGGGGAGGAGACCGGGGGAGGGAAAAGGGAGGAGAGGGAGGGACGAGGCCAACAGACGACGCTGAGGAGATGGAGGAGGAGGAGGAGGGAGCGAAAGGAGATGAATGGAGCGGCTGAGCAGAGGAGGAGGAAGAAAGAGAAGCCGGGAGAAGCCCTTTGCCATCGGAATCCAAGCCTCCCCGCCCGGCCTTCGTCGTTCAAAGAGAAAAGAGTTGCTCCGTTGCAACGCTACTTTGCTTTCCCCAAGCTGGGTCTTCCTTCCTTCCACGTGTTTCCGACTCCCATTTCCACCTCTTCTCTTCCCCCAGCACCCCCAAGACTCAAAGAGATCATGGGAATGCCACCCCAGATCAAATGGAAGATCCTATGCAAATCTAAAGAAGGAGAGATGTCACAAGAAGAGGGAAGAGGGTGGCGCAGGCTCGCCAAACTCGTTTTCCCTATGTTTTTTAGTTTCCCTGGGAATAGAACTTAAACATATCATTCATTCTTAAAAATCAAGAAAGAAATCCCAAGAGGGAGACTTGGGTTTCTTTTTTATATCTCAGTACAAGAAAAGTCACACAGGTGCCACAAGGGTGGCCTTCTTAAATGCTACTGTAAAGATGTAATATTCAGGGAGGCGTGAGAGGTTGGCATGAGGAAACCACAACTAAATTTGGGGCCCTCGTGGTTAACTACTCCAGTAAGTGGAGACACACCTTCTTCCACTCTTTATTTTTGTTCGGTTATTTGTCTCTGTAGGCCCTGCGTTGTTTCTGTAGCACACATAAACACTGATTAAAATAGAACATTAAATAGAATAATTTAACCCAGTGCAGTCAAATCACTGATCACACAACTGGAGTAAGTGACTTTGAGAAAGCAGGTTAAAATTTCAGCAGATGTAGCTGAATTATCCTTTGGAAAACAAAGAAAAACAACCCCAAGGACATCTTAACGCTGTGGAGTCCCTGGTGGTCTCTGAACTTAGTTGTTTGCTTACAGATGTTTCATGATGCAACTAAGTAACATCCTCAGTGTTGTGACTTGCTTGCTACTCTGTTTATATACAGTAGCTTGCCCTGGCAGCTACTGGTAGAGATGTGGTAGTTCCTTGAGTGTTGTGCTGGAATAAAATAGAATAACAGAGTTGGAAGGGACCTTGGAGGTCTTCTAGTCCAACCCCCTGCTTAGACAGGAAACCCTAAACCATTTCAGACAAATGGTTTTCCAATCTCTTCTTAAAAACTTCCAGTGTTGGGGCATGTACAACTTCTGGAGGCAGGTTGTTCCACTGATGAATTGTTCTAACTCCGAAAATTTTCTCCTTAATTCTAGGTTGCTTCTCTCCTTGATTGTGTTCTGCTTGATTGTTTGCCTGCTGTTAATCCCCATTTATCTGGATGTTGACTGCTAAGGGAGGATGCATTCTCTTCATTTTGTTTCCTTCTTAGCTTTCTTACTGTGTCTTTTGGATGGTGCATAAATACAGTTTACTCTGTTTCTATTGATGGCTGATTTGTCTGAATGCCAAAGCTTCCAGGAATTCCCCAGGGTTTTGCATTTAGCTTGGCCTAGATTGCTCACAGTTTCCCAGCTGAAACTATGGTTGAGCCTGTCCACGTGTCCATGACATCAGGAGTATCAGTTCAGGAGTATCTTCTGACTGCTAATTGGTGTTCATGGATGCACTCTGCTAATCTTCTGCCCTATATAGCAGGCTTACAATCCTTACAACTGTATATTATAGATGACATCTGATTTTTCTTCTTCTTCTTAAACTACAAGGTGTTTTGGTTTATTTAAGAGCTTTGGGAGGGTTTAGTTGTTTGGTGTGCTATGGTAACACCATGTGGTTCTAATTGTCTGTTGCTTGTTTCTGAGACGTTTTTGATTGTTTCATAGCTTGGCTTGGTTATTCTGTAATGCAGGGGTGTTAAACTCGCGTCATGGAGGCATCACGTGACATATCAGGACTTTCCCCCCCTTTGCTAAACTGGGTGGGGGCACAGCCAGCACGTGATGCATCCATCATGGGCCGTGAGTTTGACACCCCTGCTGTAGTGGGTTGAATGTTCAGGCAATTTTGATAAAGTTGCATGGTATCCATTTTATTGAAAGGTGTTGTGTAGCAGCCCATTTCCTTTTACTGGTGTTCTGGCTTGCTGCACTGCAGTGCATTTGTGGATATCTGCATAATGTTCTTAGACAGATTCTCTTCTGAGGAGTTGGGTTGTTGCTTTGGTAGCGGAGCACTTGATAGTCTGGTGCTTTGTTTTTCAACAAAGCATTTCTAATTTGCCAATATTTCCTTTGCTGATGAGGACATCCAGGAAGGGTAATGTGTTGTTTCCCCCCCCCTTTAAATTTTATTCCTTTGAAGATCTTGATTGTTTCATTTTGTAGGGGAAGAGTTGCTCCAAACTTTCTGGCTTCATGGACCGGCAATGGTGGTGAATGGCAGCAGTGGGGAGGAGGGGACAGTTTTGCATGCACAATCTAATCCTGAGCATGCACCAATGAAACTTCATGGTGTGCTTTGCCTCTCTGCTTGCACAGCCCAGTTTTCAATGGCTGTGGACTGATGATACTGGTCTGTGGACTGGGGGTTTGGGACCGGGGTGGACTGCTGGGGGTTTGCAGAGGCTCAGCCCCTGGCTAAGATTCTGTGCGGTCTGGAAAAGCCCCAAATCTCACTCCTGGCAGGCCCCACCCACCCCAACCTTCCCCTCCCAGGAGCCCTCACACGGCCTGTTTTGGATGCAGGTAAATATAGGGCACACTCGGAGGCTCGGGAAGGCCGGGAATGGGCCCGTTTCTGGCTTCCAGGGAGCCCCGGGGGCCATTTTCGCGCTCCTGGAGGTTTCCACCAATCTTGCAAATCTGAAGGCACAAATTTTCTGCCTCTTAACTGTTTGACATAGTTAAAGTGGATCCTTCCTAAACTTTTTTTTCTCTGACTTGTAAGTGACTGAGGGCTGCTCCTTTCCTTGTCACAATGTTTCCTCCATCTCTTCTTCTCATTCTCCAAGATTATCCATACATTCCGTTACCTATGTGACTTTTTAAAATTATGAATGGATCTGTACTTTTGATTGTATGTGTGGGGGATGCTATAGTTTTTAGACATTAGAAACTGCATTAGAGCTGTGCTGTGTTATTAGATTAGAAACATTAGACCAGGGGTCCCCAAACATGGCAACTTTTAAGACTTGTGGACTTCAACTCCCAGAATTCCTCAGCCAGCACAGCTGGCTGAGGAATTCTGGGAGTTAAAGTCCACAAGTCTTAAAGTTGCCACGTTTGGAGACCTCTGCATTAGATACTGTATTAGATCTCTCCTGTGAGTCCTGAGATTGTTGATTTCATGGTTGCTCATCTGAAGAGAGGTTCAAGGGGTTGATTTCCTTATCTGGTCTATCTAGTGGGGCTAAAATCCTGCTAAACATAGGGCCAGCAGTGCTGGTACAATGTGATCTCTATTTCTTGCAAAATTCCCAGATGTGCGGTATGTAGGAAAACAACTTGCCCAGCACAAGGCTACCTTCTTTTAAAATTAACAAAATCATTACCTTGCCTTGTTCAGGATTGGTGGTTTTATTGTGGATTTTAACTGTTGATTTTTTTTTCTTTTGTACAATACAGTTTACTAGACTGCTTTGGGAGTAAGAACAGTATCAAAATAAAATGAATTCACTTCATCATTGCCTTTCTCTTAAGTGAAATGTTTGTAGTTCTGTTTTGCATGAATAAAACATCTTATTACACTTTTTGTATTGCAATATATTGTTTTCGGGCTACACTTCAGATTTCAATAAAATTCACCTGGGACACATCAATGGCAAATATATAATGCAACTAAGCTATATGAAGATATTTCCATTTGGAACTAAACTTACTATTGACCATTAGCAATTTTTCAATTCTATCCCATGAAATGCCCCACATAACTTTAAAAGCTTGCTGACATTAATACTTTCCCCTTTGAACTAGTGCCAATGAAAGATGACTCTGCCACTGTTGTATCTTCTGAAAAGTCAGCTCAATTCCTTCCCACCAATTTTGGCTCAGGGAGAGAAAATCATACCATCATTTTTTATTAAAAGGAGGGAAACAGGACCCTGGGCTTAACAGCAATTCCCAAGTTATTGGTTCACGGAGTTTAATTCCACAAATAAGATGGTACCAGCTCCTAACTAGTTTCTATTACATTCACAAGATGAAAATGTACCAGAAAAGAATTCCACAGTGAAAATTGGTTGTAAATGGATGATACTGCAAAACAAGTAAGGACTATCTAATAAGGACTGAATCTGAGAGAACCTGGCTTTAAATGTTTAACACATGACAAAATAAATGGGCTTTTCTTTGCTTGCAATAAGTCCAGGCCACATCTGTCCACCCAAATCCATCCATCCATCCATCCATTATTTAGATCATAGACCACGATAAAATAAAGTCAAGAATTACAGACATTTCAGTAATCATTCTGGAATTTAATAAGAGATTAAAAAACACTAAAAGCTAGTGTTGCTGACATAATATTATATACAGTGTATTAAAACCTTAACATCTTCGTACAAAATTCTTTGCCAAAATTATTAATCAAAACGAAGAGGGCTCTGTAGTTACAAAAAGGATATATAGATAAAGAATAAAAGGGTTTCAGTTAGTTTACTCATGCTGTGTATCCTTATCTGTTTATGGATCATAATCTACCAGCATAATAAGACAATCCTCATTTAACAACTACTTCAGCAACTGTTCAAATTTGCAGTGGTGCTGAAGGAATGACCGTTATGACTGGTCCTTGAAGTTCTGGCTGTTGTAGTGTCCTCACAGTCAAGTGATCACAATCCAGGCACACAGCAACTCGCCTGGATTTCCAACCATTGCAGTGACCCAGTGATCCACAATTAGTTGATCACATATTGCCCTCTTCCCTGCTGGCTTCCCACAACACAGTCAATGGAGAATCTGG